CCTCATGTATGGCGCCTGTACATATGTCTATTGTATTATGTTTTCAGTGAGACGGAGTCCTTCTTCTGAGGACTTTGGACTAACAAGAGACATGTCTACACTGTGTCCATTCTTCAATAAGTCAAGAGAGCCATGAGGAGTTTGGGAGTGACAGGGATTAATTCAGACTGGGCTAGAGAGCTGCCTGGGGGTGAAGCTCAGCTCATGTGGACTTTCCACCACCTGATCTGGTCCTTTGACAGGTTGGGAAGGGAGGAAACTTGTGCCAAGGGTAGCACAAGCAGAAGCAAGCCAGTGGGCAGATGTTTGGTGAAAATTTCCAATTCCAGGTCCTGAGAACACCAAGACAGGTGAGTCACAGGCCCTGGCTGTAGGAGCTCAAGACAGATTTGGGAAGAGTGAGGACTGGGAGACAGAGCCACCTCTCCAGACTGAGACCACAGAGTTGGCTCAGAGCTTCAGAGAGCAGTGCCCAGCTGTAACCTCCCAGATTTCTCCTTGACTGCAGCCCTTATTAGTTTTTTCATTTATTTGCTTATTTTTAGAGATTGGTTCTCCCCTGTCACCTAGGCTGAAATAGTGATGTGATCTTAGCTCATCACAGCCTCAAACTCCTGGGGTCAGGAATCCTCCCATCAGCCTCGGGAGTAGTTAGGACTGCGGGTGTATGCCACTATGCCTGTTTGTTTGTTTTTTTTTCTCTTTTTTTAGAGTCGGGTTCTCACTATGATGCCAAGGCTGGTCTCAAACTTGGGCCTCAAGTGATCTGCCCACCTTGGCCTTCCAAAGTGGTGTGAGCTATAATCATACCACTATTCAGCCTGGATGACAGAGGGAGAACCTATTTTTTAAAATAAGTAAACAGCTGGGCGCAGTGGCTCACACCTGTTATCCCAGCACTTTTGGAGTCCAAAGCGGGGGGATCATGAGGCCAGGGAGACCAGTCTGGCCAACATGATGAAAGCCCATCTCTACTAAAAATATGAAAATTAGTCAGGCATGGTGGCGGTCTCCTGTAACCCCAGCTACTCCAGAGGCTGAGACAGGAGAATCATTTGAAACCAGAGGTTGGAAGGCAGAGGTTGCAGTGAGCTGAGATCACACCACTGCACTCCAGCCTGGGTGAAAGAGCTAAACTCTGTCTCAAAAAATAAAAATTAAAAAAAAGTAGCCAGGCGCAGTGGCTCACACCCGTAATCCCAGCACTTTGGGAGGCCGAGGCAGGCGGATCACGAGGTCAAGAGATCGAGACCATCCTGGCCAACACGGTGAAACCTGTCTCTACTAAAATACAAAAATTAGCTGAGTGTGGTGGCACATGCCTGTAGTCGCAGCTACTCGGGAGACTGAGGCAGGAGAACTGCTGAACCCGGGAGGCAGAGGTTGCAGTGAGCCGAGATTGCACCACTGCACTCCAGCCTGGTGCCTGGCGACACAAGACGGTCTCAAAAAAAAAAAAAAGTAAACAAATTAGTAACAGCTGTGAGCCATCACTCCTGGCCTGGTTATCTGTTTTTCACTGCCCTGCAGCACCTGTGCATACCTGAATTCCTCATCTGGAAGACTCACCCGCAGCACTGGAGTTTGTAGTGTTCCTAACAAGGCTGCCACAGCGTTTGCACACTGAGCAATCCTGGAGAACATTTCTTAGTAAACTACCCACATCCATTTGCGGGAAAAGGCACTAGGGAGGCCAAGGAAGGAGGTGAGCTATGAGAACAGGGCGCCATCTTCAGATATCCAACATCATACCTCAAAAGACCAGCTGCACCGCAGACTTGAGCCAGCTCTCACACATGGCAGCTGATTCCGAGGACACAGAAGTACAGATAGGGCTCCATTCTGACGTATAAACACCCCCACCCTTCTACGTGCAGTTTTCCAGGCCCTTCTGCAAAGTGTCCATGAGGCTGACCACGCAGTGCCCGCAGGGAAACTCAGGCCACAGGCTCTGCCCACTTTCTGGCAGCTGCTGCCCCCTGCTGACGTAGCAAGACCTTGACAGCCCAAGAAGGCCATTTCCCCCGCTTTCCACCAGGCAGTGTAAGAGCATCTGCAGGTGGGATGATTCCACACCCCATAAATACGTACAATTACAATATGTCAATTTAAAAAGATGTTTAAAGACTGGGAGTATAACCAGGCATGGTGGCTCATGCCTGTAATCCCAGCAATTTGGCAGGCTGAGGTAGCTGGATCGTTTACGCCCAGGAGTTCCAGACCACCTGTGGACAACACAGGGAAACCCCATCTCCAAAAGAATACAAAAATTAGTCGGGCATGGTGGGACACACCTGTAGTCCCAGCTACATGGTAGGCTGAGCTGGGAGGATCTCTTGAGCCAGAAAGGCCGAGTTTTCAGTGAGCCGAGATCACGTCACTGCACTCCAGTCTGGGCTAGAGCAAGTGCCACAAAAAAAAAAATAAAGGGGTGGGGGGAGGGGCAAAGAGCAGAGGTTCAAGCCGTAATCCCAGCATTTTAGGAGGTCAAGGTGAGAGGACTGCTTAAGTCCAAGAGTTCTGGACAACATTGCAATACGTCTCTATAGAAAAAAAATGTTAAGTTAAAAATTAGCAGGGTGTGGTGGTATGCATCTGTGGTCCTAGCTACAAGGGAGGGTAAGGCAGAAAGATTGCTTGAGCCCAGGAGTCCCAGGCTGCAATGAGTTATGACTGCACCACTGCACCCCAATCTGGGCAACAGAGTAAAAACCCTGTCTGATAATAAAATGAAAATTTAAAAATATAAATTTTTAAAAGGCAGTGGGGTTGCCATGCTTGTCAAAAATCACATCCAGACAAGTAGGGAAATACAACCCTTTTACAGTCTCCTTTTCTATCACACCATGGGAGGAAGCCTCCGTGGGTTAAGCACCCTGAAGCTGCTGCAAAGACGTGCTAACAAGACTCGCTGTAGCTCAGATGCTCCCATTTTATAGGTGATAAAATTGAAGCGTAATGAAGCTTGAGAATTCCCATAGAGATGTGACCCTGGGATCGTGCATCACCAGGTCCTGACCTCCTACTTTCTAAACTGATAAAGCCACCTGATATAGGTGTGGGCTGAGACGGGGCAAGAAGCAAAAGCACATTTCCTGAGCATCTGTTGGTGCAGGGCGTGTCAGGTGTTGGGTAGACTAAGGCCCCAGCCCCACACTTGAGGAAGATGAAGATCAGAACAATTCATTGCCAACAAGCCAGTGTAACATATTAACACGACTCGGTACAGAAATGGGGGACAAGGCCCTATGTCCCTCACAGCTTGACCATCTTGCTCACCTTAAAATTTCTTGACCCTCTTTGCTGGCAAAGAAAGCTGAGAAACAGTATTCCCACTTCTCAGTTCTTCTTCCCAGCAAAACTGCCTTGGAGATGACTGCCTCCCTTCCTCATCTCCTGTGAGCTCCAGGACACAATAGTGGGAGCTGCCGCCGTTACCTTCTGGAACGCTGAGTGCCCCCACTGTGCCTTATCTTCTCACTGTGGAAAGGAAATCATAGCGTCGCATATGCCATATTTTCTCACTGTGGAAAAGAAATCATAGCATTGTTGTGAAGATCCATTAGGGGTGTTCCTGGCATGTGGAATGCATTGGGTGAGTAAGCTGCTGTGTCTAGGTGGGAGAGATTGAGTGCTGTGGCTTGTTTTATTCTTAGAAGTACCATTGGCTCTAACCCTCCTGGTCTCTCTTCCTGCCTGCCTTATCTTGCAGGTGACTTTGCAAGGAGAAACAGCATGTGCATGGCACGGTCCTTTTCTGGGGCTCTTCTGTACCAGCAGCCTCACAGGTCCTGCCTGCCAGTGACTGGGTAGGGAAGTCCAACACTGTATCATCTCAGAAAGCCCACTCATTAGGACTATAATACTGTATTATAGACTAAAAATTTGCTGAGAGTAGATTTTAGGTGGTGGGGTGGAGGTAACTATGCAAAATGATTGATATGCCAACTTGGTAGCTATTTCATTATGTACATCAAAATAGCATGTTGTATACCTCCTATATATATGTATATAATTAAAAAAATTTAAAGCCCACTCACCCAAAAACATCAGCCATGCATTTTCACAGCAGCTTTTCTAGTAACAAAATATTTTGACACCCATCTGCCAAGTCAGGAGGGCAATCTGAAAATCCTGGACAGCAGCTGTCCAAATGACTGCTTGGTACAAAGTGGCCTAGATGGCCCCTCAGATGGCATCCATAGCCACCAGGGTCACTGCTGTGTGTGTGCCTCCAATTCTTGGCCTTCACCCTGCCCCTTGACCTCCAAGGTTTCCAGTCTTCCTCCCTGCCAGCACCTTCTTCCCTTGGCTGACATCTTCTCAACTCCAAACACAGGCACACCACAAGTGTAGCTCAGGCTAAACAAGGCCTTTGTTCTTCTTCAAAGCTCCTGAAGTTCACATCCCTATCCGATCTCCCAACTGTGAGTCCAAGTGCCCCCAAGCCCCTCCCATCACCCAGCCAGTTAAGCCCCGACTTGGGAATCACCTTTTACCTAGGTTTTACTTTCAGAGATATGATGAATAATTCATAATATATGTCTTAAACTCTGCAGTGGCCAGAAATTTACCTGAAATTTAAGTGGGCACACTGTACTATCTGATAAATCTGGCATCACTACTTTTGTCCCTTCTCTACCTTCATGTTCACATCTAAACACATCTAGGGTCCCACCCCTCTGGGACTCTCATCTCTTAGCTCAGACCTAGAGCCCACTCCACCCTGCAGGCCCCTATGTACCAAACCCTCTCCTGGCACCCATCACCTCACACACTCCTCCCCTGCTTCTCTGCACTTGCCCTATGCATGTCCGCCCCGGCCCTGTGGCCTTGCACACCCCACGAGCATGCACAGCGCGGCTCGCCCCAGCTGGTCCTTCACCTCCCTTCCCTGACCACACCATCTAAAGAGTCTGCCGCCTCACCCTGCTCTTCCCTCCCCCAACCCCTGCCTCATCTTTGCCCTTCTGCTCTTCCACCAGCAGGGACAGCAGATGTTAACTGTTACATAAACTACTTTATTTAAATAAAAGCAGGAAAGATCCTTTCCCCCTTACACACCAGCACATGCACGCTCACACACCCACACCCTCCCTCCCTTCCTGCTCTCTGCCCAGGCCACCTCAAACGCCGAGGTTCTCATTGTGACCAACCACCCTCAACCTGGAGACACCTGTGCAGGGTGCAGATGCCCACTCATCCCCGTCGCTGGCAGAACACGGGCCTAGACGAGGGCTCTCCACTCTCCTGGGGACCAAAGTAAGGACCCATCCTCCCAAGGCACCCAGGCCTGGTGTGGCTTCCCTATAGTCTGGGAGCACTGCCAGGCAGCTGGAGCTGCTCCCTGCCGAGGGCAGGACTTTTCACCCCAGGCCAACTCCTCCTGTAACAAAGGAAGTAAGAGTGTTGGCAGACAAGCTTGAGCATGCCCCAAGGGATCCTGCAGTAGGTATTGTTTAGTCTGGGAAAGAGCAAGGGAGAGCAATTGAGCACCAAATTCCCTAACCCCACCCTGCAGGAGGGTGCTGAGTCAGTTCAGCATCCTCTACCCAGAAAAAGTAAACGCAGCTGTGCAGCGAGTGTGAGGGTGGGAATGACACGGACCTGCACCTTCAGGACCTCACTATGACTTCACCCCAACACCAGGCCTGTGAGGCACCCACTAGCACCTTGACAATGTGAAGAACCCAGCCCAGCTGGGGAAACCCCATACCCACAGGAGTCAGTCTGGAGTTGGTGACGTTCCCTATGTTGACAGTGGGGTTGGGTTTCTCTCCCTGCAGATCTTGTAACTTCTGCTTCGGGGCACACATGGCAAAGTAGTCAGGTCTCGAAAGGGAATGCTGAAGGGAAGGGTGGTGTCTTCCAGAGGCACACAGTACACCTTACAGGTTACACACGGGCCGGCTGGAACAAGACGGGGGTACCGGGTTCAGCAGTGTACCTAGGGTGCCCTCCAGAGTCGCCTTGGGAAGGGGGCAGGGCTGGAAACCAACGGAGGGACACCTGTCCATCCCCTCCGGCCAGGGTATTCAGCCGGCACCCATTTTCTCCTGATGAGCTTCCTAGGCCTTCTAGACCAAGTTCCCTGAGGGAAAAAGCCAGATGGAAGCAGGAGAAGGGAGAGCAAAGGGTCAACGCTCTGCAGACTGTGATGAGCCAGCAGAGCCCGAGAGCAAGCCTTCTGAATGCGTAAGGCCAAGAGAGCTGCCTGCTGTGGGGCAGGGGAGGCTGTGAGAAAGCCACGGCAGACACAGAGGACTCAAACACAGCTGGCCTCTCCCAGGGAAGCACTGGAGAAGGGACCTCGGGGAGATGGCCCCGATTGGCCGATGGCAGCAGATCCAAGCCAGTCACCCTGGCCCCTCGGCTACAGGCTGACGCTGCGCTGGTGCCGACCCCCACGGACCCCGCTGTCGCTGCCCCGACGCCCTCCACTCCGGGTTCCCAGCTCTTGGCCATCCAGGCTGACGTGGTCCGAGAGGCCTCGCAAGTGCTCCACGGAGTCGCACTTCTGCAGATCTGAGGCCACGGTGCGCAGGCTCAGCAGACTCAGGGTGTCGGTGTCGGGGGCGGGCCCAGGCTCCAGGCTGCTGCCTTCCTCCAGCCCTGCACCCTCGGCCCCCTCAATCCCGCTGTCTGCATCCTCTAAGTCCTCAGGTCCTGCTTCAGCCCCCACAGGGGAGGAGCGCCGAGTGCCCAGGGCATGGGAAGGCAGACCCCCGCGGCGCCGAGCATGAATCTGCTCGCTGATCTGCTCCAGGTTGCGGAGGGCCACGGAGTAGCGTGTCTTGGCCTGAGCCACCTGCTGCTCCAGTTCTGTCACCTTGGCCTTGTGCTCCTGCCGAGGGCAGAACAGAGTGAGATGACCTGTGGAGCCCCTCTCCACCCTACTCAGCACGCGGCGCTGAGGCCTCATCTCCAGACAGAGGACCTGCGCAGCTTGCTCAGTACCCACCACAGACCCGCGACACTCTTCCCAGCTCCACTCTCTCCTCAGGCTGTTCTTCCCCAGCAATCCTGCTCCTGACCTGAGCCCCACCTTCTAGAGCCTTCCTCTCGGCCAGTGCCTGCCCTTCATCCTCTCTGCACTACTCCCTTTCCCACGTGCCTGGTTATTCCCCATCCCTGGGCTCCCACCAGTTTTTTTCTTGTTTACCTCCCTTCCTCCAACTACATTCTCTAACATCAGTAGCCCCCCTGTCCCTGCCTCCCACTCCTGCAAGGTCATTTTGAGCATGTGAGCCACCGCCCTTCCCCAGCAGGGCTGGAGGCCTCCTGGCCACTCACCAAGATGGCCCAGAGAGGCCGACCAGCATCCCCTCCAGCTGCCCTCACCTTCCATGCCTGACCCCAGCCTGCACCCCCACCTGCCCGCTTTTCCTCCCCCTCGCCCCTCAGCTACCTCCAGGATCTGGCTGAACTGGGCCTTGAGCTCAAAGTAGGGGCGGCTCTTGCCAATGGCCCTCCGGAGGGTCTTCTGCAGGGCTTGGACCCGAGCCTCCGCCTGCTGGCACAGCCGCGTCACCCGCTGGTGCTCCCGCTCACCACGAAGCCGCTCTTCCTCCGCCTCGTTCACCTGACCCAGGGGACACATCAAGTGGGGACCCATGTTCAGTCTCTGGCATCTGCCCCAGGCCACCTATCTCAACACTGCCCTGGGGGCGACCCAAACAGGAACATCATCTGCAGACCCCTGACTGCGTACAGAGCCCGAGACACGCCGGGGAACAGAGGATCTGTGAGACTCCAGAGAGCTTCCTTCCGTCTCTTCTGGGTCTGCTGCCTGACCGTCGAGGCCAACATCGCAGGCACCAGCCTCTGAGCCACCTCTGTCACCCGTGCCACTGGCCACTCAGCTTTGCTGCCGCCAGGAACGGGATGCTGGCACCCACTCAACCACTGGGGAGCGTCGAGGGAACGTGTGTCAGCACATCACACCTCTGCAGCAGCCATTCTCTTCAGGGAGCCCTCAGTGCCAATGGCTAGGCATCAGGGAATGAGAAAAGCCATGTGGGGAGCCACAGCTGTGCACTGGTTCTCCAGGTTGCCAAACCCCACACACACACAGTCCAGGACAAATGGGCTCCGGTGTGCTTCTGCCCAGGGCGTTGTACAGTCGGTCCATTTGTGCTGGCAGACATGGTGGCTGCGGCCCTCACCTGCTCCCTGCTCAGATGTCGCTCTAGACTGTGCACCATCCCCCACCCTGCCCCCAATGCTGTGTACTTGCATTTGCATAAGCTCTAGAGTACAAGTGAGGTGCCCGTTCTGTGCCAGGGGCAGATGAAGAATCACAAGACACAACCACTCCCTGAGGAGCTGACACTTGCCCTGTGCGAGCTGCAGGTGGCAGACTGGGCCAATGCCAGAGACCCTTCCACTCCCCAGTCCCTTTCAGGAGCTTGGAAATGATACACAAATTACACTTCAAAACTCAAGGTGTATTGTCAGAGCTCAAAAGAAGGAAAGGGAGCATATTCTGAAAACAGACGCAAGGAGTCACACAGCTAAACATAACAAAACATGAACGCTGAATCCAGAGTATCCACCAGACAAGGACTGGGTTACTCCCACACCTGGAGGCAAACGTTCCAGAAGAGCCAAGGACAACATTCTCAGAGGGAAAGGGAATATGGGAAGCATTGGAGGCCAAACAGGACAGAAAGCTAGGAACAGGTTTTACCTGAAACAGAATCGAAGTTGAAAGAAGACAAGAATGGGGGAGAGAGTGAGGAGGTGAGGTGACAAAGGCACAGCAAAGGATGGAGAAGAACCAAGGAAGGGGACCTGCCGGCACTGCCCGGCTCACCTTGCAGGTGGCATGGTTCAGCATCTCCTGCCACGTGGGGTCCAGTCGGTTCTTGTCAGCCATGACGCCCTGCTCAGCCACAAACACCATCTCCCGAGCAGCGTTGTGCATGCTCACGGCCCGCTCGTAGCGCAGCGCCGCCTTCTGTGTCTCCTGCTGAGCCTAGGGGGAGAGGGGCATTAGGATGGGGAACGCTGAGGGACCCCAGCTGCCCGTGGAGACCCATTACGGACGTGAGGACAGAGAAGGAGGAAGGCCTACTAGCAGTGCCGGCTGCACTTCCCAAACTATGCTGAGGATAAATGCCAAGGAGGCAACATTCTGTAAAGAGTATTCCATAAGGATATGGACTAGAAGAAATAAAACCGTTGCCAGTGGAGGGTAGGTGTATGAAATCCAGTACTCCCAAAGGCTGTTAGCCTTTTGCCCTAGGGAAAACAAAAGGAAAATACCAACCATTTTAGTTGTAAGGTGGTTAGCAACATGGACAGGGTCTTATAGAAAATATGACATTGAGACCATCAATTCTATGTCCAGCAGGAAAGCTGAAGGAAACAAACAGACAAGTCCTCAGAGATATTCATCACAGCCATACTAACCAAGTGAAGAATGAAACAAACCTTACTTTTCAGTTATAGAACATTGGCTAAATAAAAGCACATCTAATGTAAGAAGACAAGCTGGGCGCAGTGGCTTCTGCCTTGAGCCCATCTACTTGTGAGGCTGAGGGAGGAGGATTATTTGAGCCTAGGAGTTTGAGGTTGCAGTCAGCTATAATCACACCATTGCACGGCAGCCTGGGCAACAAAGCAAGACCCCATCTCTTAAAAAAACAAAATATTAATTAAGCAGTCCTTTAAAATGACGGCATGGATGTATGTTTATTGACATGGAACTATGTCATAATGCTAAGCAAAATAAAAGAACAAAATAACACATACTGTGTAATCCCATTTTGGCAGAACATATACACACATAAAAAAAATGTGATTAAGACAGCAAACAGAGTTATCTGTGCTGTCTTCATCATATTTTTTATTTTCTATACTTTATGACATTTTGATGTCTTGGGGGACCTTGCTGGCCAAGGAGAAACTGCCCCTTCCAGGGCTAATTCCTAGAGACAGTGAACTCCCCTGTAAATGTGCTTTCCATATGCAAACCAACCAACCAGTCCAAAGCCCGGATTCCCAACTACCTCCTGTACCTACCTCTTACCCACCAAACCAGTATCTCCTTTGCCCTAAGTCCTCCCAGGACCAGGTACTAGATAATTAGAGTCCACCCCTATAGACCAGGGCCTAGCAAAATTTTTCACACTATCCAATCCTAAACTGACTCAAACTTGCCTACCCTGTCTCAGCTACTCCTTTCCACAAAAACCGCAACAGGGTTCTGTGCCATGCTTTCTCCTTCACTTCTTCCACCTCCTGACAGACCCTGGTTGCTTCCCAATATGGCCCTGCATAGCATGGTATGTCCCCTCCTCTTGGGAATAAACTGTTCTTCCAAGGCAGTTATCTCTGTATCTATCACCAAATCCCCAGGAACAAAATGCATGAAATGTGCATGGTAGGATTTGGGGTGATTTTGGTTTTCTTCTTGTTTTATTATGTTTTTCCAATGGTGAACACATATTATCGGTTAAAAATTATTTGTTAAAGAATAAAAAGGTGGGGGATGGGGAAAGTTGTGGGATGCTTACAGTGAGGAGTAAGCAAAGAAAAGATTCAGAAGAGAGACATTAACCAAAGGGAAGAGGAAATGGGGGAAGAGGAAAACAGGGGGATGTTAGAACTGGTATATCTGTGATAGCCTAAAGCCTGGTTCCTTATACTCAGAAGGCACTTAAACATAAGCAGGGCTGAACTGCTGTTCTCCCACACCTACCCTCACCATTTTATACGCCATGAGCCCAGGGCCCACGGTGGTAAAGGAACCTCCTCGGCCCACAGAGCTGGTTCAGACCAGCCAGGTCTCGCCCAGGGCTCTGCCCTCAGGTCTGGTGTTTTGTCTCTCGCTCCACACAGAGACAGAAGAATCCAGGGCCAGGCTCAGCATGTAGCCTTCCTCAAACATGGGTCAGCCAGCCCTACCTCCTTAGCTAGCCGCCGAGCCTCATAGTAGGGTCGCGCTTTCTCGATGCAGCTCCCCAAGTGGGAGCCCTGCGTATTCAGCTTCCTTGCCGACTCCTGCAGGATCCTCCGATAGGTGGTCCTGGCCTCCTGGAAAGGAAGGAAGCAGAGGAAAGCACATGTTTGGGTCCCAGCCCCTCCTGTTTCTCAGACACACCCCTCCCACTGCCACTGCCTCAAGCTAGGAAAGAGACAGATGAAGACACTTCCAAGGACCAGCCCAGAACAGGAGGAAAAGGACACTCACATCCAGCTGTAGCTCCACCTGGTTGATCTCCTCGCTGGCCTGGTTCAGGTGCTCCAGCTCTTCCTGTCACAGAGAGAAGTGGCAAATTAGTGCAGTGCAAGGAAGTAGCCTTGAGTGAACCGTGCAAGGCAGGAGCAAGGGGCAGAAAGAGAAAGCCTCACTCGCCCAGGGAAAGGAGGTGAAACACTCAGGAAAGAAAAGAGAAGATTCGGAGGAGAAGACTGCCAAATGCTTCCTTGTCCATCAGGGACCTGCCATATACAATCCTCACAACCTGACTTTGTGCTGGGTAGTAAACCTCAGTTTTAAGGATGAAGAAATTGAGGTTTGGAGGATGCAACACTAGTACGTGCAAAGTGAAGTTGTGGTGAGCCCTCACTCTCTCCATCACATTGCACCACTTCCTCAAACTAAGGGAGTCTCCTTGGACCTGAGGGCTCTCTCCCTGCGAGAGGATGGCCACCTGGGCCAGGGCAGGGCCACTCAGTCAGCACATGTTTACTACACACTTATCACCTCTCGGGACCATGAGACCTGAGAATTCAGGACACAGAGATGGCAGCTTACAGGCTGGTGACGAAACCCAGCAAGTCAGAATAGGCCCTGGGCAGTATGTGCAGCCCTGTGAGTGGTGGGCGTGGGTGCCCCCTGGGCAGCAAGGTCACCTGCCTGGGCAGCAGAAGGTCAGGGCAGGATGCCTAGAACACTTGCTCCACAGCTGGGAGGACTTCATAGACCCAAAAGTGCCAGTAAATGGCCAGGCACAGTGGCTCATGCCTGTAATCCCAGCATTTTGGGTGGCCGAGGCAGGCAGATCACCTGAGGTCAGGAGTTTGAGACCAGTCTGGGCAAACATGGTGAAACCCTGTCTCTTCTAGAAATACAAAAATTAAGCTGGGCATGGCAGCATGCACCTGTAATCCCAACTACTCGGGAGGCTGAGGGAGGAGAATCCCTTGAACCTGGGAGGTAGAGGCTGCAGTGAGCTGAGACCACACCAGGGTACTCCAGTCTGGGTGACAGAGAGAGACTCTGTCTTAAGAAGAAAAAAAAGTGCCAGTGAAGAAGGAGCCAAGGAACCAACGGTACCCTGGGCAGACAAGTTAGCAGGTGAGAAGGTCAGTAAGGCCTGGTGCTCCCTCCCCAGGAGTACCAGGCCTTTTTACAATGGCAAATGGGACTCTGAGAGCCTGGTGCCAATGTAAGGAAAGCCTAGAGGGGCCAGAGAGATAAAAGTGGAGGGTGGGAGGGGTGCAGTGGCTCACGCCTATAATCCTTGCACTTTGGAAAGCCGAGGTAGATGGACCACTTGAGGCCAGGAATTCAAGATTAGCCTGGCCAACATGGTGAAGCCCTGTCTCTACCAAAAATATAAAAATTAGCTGGGTGTGGAAGCGCATGCCTGTAATACCAGCAACTTGGGAGGCTAAGGCGCGAGACTCACTTGAACCTGGAGGGCAGAAGTTGCAGTGAGCTACGATGGCACCACTGCACTCCAGCAGAGGCGACACAGCGAGACTCAAAAAAAAAAAAAAAAAAAAGGTGGAGGCTGTCTATAGTATTCCTGGTGGCAAAGGAGAGAGCAGACCGCAAGGAAACACAGGACACAGAATCACAGGGGCCTGGTGGGTGACCAAGGTTAAGATCAGGAAAGTGTAGACAGCCCAAGAAGCCTTTTGGCCTCCTTGGGCAATGGGTGACTATGACCCCAGGTCCCTGTACAGCAGCTCCTGTTGGAGAGAGGGAGAGTCCTGGGGAGAAGCTGCCAGACAAGCTGGTTTGAGTGCCTTCCTGGTCCCTGGAAGGACTGCAGAGAAAAGCAATAGAACCATCCTGGGCTTTCTACGAAGTGGCAGAGAGCTGAGAGGGGTGCTGGCCTCAAGCATCCTCCCCTGCCCGAGAAAATACAAGCGTTCCCAGAGACCCTGGTGAGCTAAGGACACTACTGAGGAGCAGTGCTGGTCTGTGCCAAGGGCCTTACGCCAGGAAATATCTGGTGCCTCGCTGTAGGATTTGCCTTCACCAGCCCCTGCTGTCTCCGGAGAGGAAGCTGGACAGGCTGGAGCGACCCAGCCCAGCATCTGCCTGCTGCCCAGATCCATGACTTGCACTTGGCAGCGAAACACAGTCACTTCGCATGGCCATGATGTCGGTTCCCATTCACCTCGTTCAGGCCTCGGCAAGCCAGTGAGGGAGTCAGGCTGAAAAGCATGATCTCCCTTTTAGTCCCTTCCATACTCCTCCCGCCCCCTGCCTTGATCCTGAAAAGATTCGGGTCAGCAAGTAAGAATATAGGAAGCCAGTTAGACATGTTAATTACAGTAAAAGGAAGAACACAAAGGTGGAAACCTGTAAAGGAACGAGGAATGAGGATATGAAAATGTGCACACTTACAACCGCGTAGATCCTGCCTCAAGGAGGCCACAAATCTGGCTCTAAACTAGGGGTGTCCAATCTTCTGGCTTCCCTGGACCACACTGGAAGAACTGTCTTGGGCCACACATAAAACATACTAACTATAGCTGATGAGCAAAATAAAAAAAAAAATTGCAGCCGGGAGCAGTGGCTCATGCCTGTAATCCCAGCACTTTGGGAGGCTGATGCGGGAGGATCACCTGAGGTTAGGAGTACGAGACGCCAGCCTGACCAACAAGGTGAAACCCCATCTCTTCTAAAAATACAAAAATTAGCCAGGCATAGCGACAGGCGCCTGTAAGTCCCATCTACTCAGAAGACAGAGACAGAAGAATTACTTGAACTGAGAGGCAGAGGTTTCAGTGAGCCAAGATTGCGCCACTGCACTCCAGCCTGGGCAATGGAGTGAGACTCCATCTCAAAAAAAATAAAATAAAATTAATAAAAAAAAAATAGCCAGGTGTGGTGGCACACACCTATAGTCTCAGCTACTGAGGAGGCTGAGGCAGGAGACTTGCTTAAACCTGGAAGGTGGAGGTTGCAGTGAGCCGAGATCACGCCACTGCACTGCAGCTTGGGTGAGAGAGCAAAACTCTGTCTCAAAAAAAAAAACTGCAAAAAAATCTCATGTTTTAAGACAGTTTACAAATTTGCATTGGGCCACATTCAAAGCCATCCTGGGCTGCATGTGGCCATAGGCCACAGGTTGAACAAGCCTGCTCTAAACTTTCTTGAAGAGATCTATTCAACAGAAATGTACAGGGGCTGCACATGGAATTTTTAATTCTAAAAGCCACATGTTTTTTAAAGTAAAAAAAAAAAGTGGTTGAAATTATAATCCATTTAACTCAATATATCCAAAATATCATTTCAATATGCAATCAGCATAAAATAATATTATCCATACTTTAACATTTTTAAACTAAGTCTTCAAAATCCATATGCACTTGATTCTTAGGACACATCTCAACCTAGACAGAGGCATGTGGCCCATGTGTTGGATGGCGAAGGTCTAGAAGTTGTTGTATTAGGTAGATGTATCTACAGCGTCACACAACCCAGTGTCCATAAAATAACAAAGCATTCTGGAACTACAGGCAGCCAACACAGGTCAGGACCCCAGAGGAGGCACAGGGTCAGCACCCACACTATCAGACACATAGAACTCCAAGTTTCACAGTGTCTTCCTAACAGGGACATCACCATCAACTGACAGGATCACCCTAACAGACCCTAAAAAGGCAATGTCTGTCAAGGTGAAGGGCAACCTATCTCCCTGTGGCTGAACTTGGCTTACAGGGGCTTTTAGGCTATCTGGGAGGGGAGTGACCAGCTCTTTCCGCACCTCCTGCTGGAATATTCTCTCTCAGCTCCTTTGCATTTGATAGATGAGAAACAACGATGTGGGAAACTAATGACAGACTTGGGTCTGAATGCAGAACCAACCTTTGATTTCACTTTCTTTCCACTGTGCCCACCCTACTGGGATTGAGGACGTCATTGGAAGGACATCTCAGCAAAGAAATAAGCGCTGTAATTTAAGAAAACCATAGCCCAGCTAGGAAAAGGACAGGGCTTGGAAATACAACCAACACTGATTGCAGGGAAAAGAGAAGGGGGTTGACTGGTAAAGGCCACCCTGCAATGTTCACAAAGGCAAACCAAAGGCCAAGACTGAATCCCCGCTGGATTCCATGGCCCAAAATGCTCCAGTCACCAACTTCCAGCCCCTAACAAGATAATCAAAGGGTTGAATGGCTCAACGTAAGTTGTTCCTACTGTAAAATGGACCAGAAGAGATGTAGCTATTGGCAAGTGGCAGGAGGGGGCATTATCTTTCTAAATGGGAACTGGCATCCCAATAGCACCTCCAGCCATTTACAGATAGCCATCTGCTGGTGGGATCTGTCCCCTCAGGGTCACAAAGCTCTCTCTAACAGGACAGGAAGATGCCTGGGGAGCAAAGCAGCCTGGAGAGCAAGGTCAGCACGGGAGGGAGCCGGATAGCCCGCCTGGGGCATACCCAGGGAGAGGCTCAGCGGAAAGCCACTGAGGACCTGGGATGGTTCTGGGCAGTCAGTAACACATTCCATTTGGCCTGCTTCACCAGGAACTCCTGGCGCTGGGCTGAAATGGAATTCGGAGACAACAAAGTCTGAGTCAGCGTGCATCATCCACCAGTGAGCCAGCAGCCAGCAAGGAGGGTGCCCCTCCCGGGGCACAGCAGTCAAATTCCCAGGATGCCAGGACACTGAATCCAAGGCATGGGGACTCAGGCTACAGATGCTCCCACTGCACCTAGTGCAGACCATCAAAAGACTCAAGTAATGGTAACTGAGGCCAGGGTGATGACCGTCCTGTGAAAGCTAAACCCATACTTCCAGATGAGGTCACAGAGGTTGCAAACTCACCCTAGAGAGTTTAGAAAGGAGCAGGTAAACGAGTGCATTCACATCTGAGGAAGAATGTAACCACTAAAAGGAGGCTGGTAAAGTCACAGAATAAATGCAGGTCCATCCTAAATCCACACTCCTTTCCTCTTTCCCTCTACTGGAACCCTCTCAGAAAGCTGAGGATGAGCCTGGAGGACTCAAAAGAACTCCACTAAGATCATGACCCGGAGACACAGCCAGCAGCCTTCCCTGGAGGGACAGCACACTCCAGGCAGGTAGGCACCAGCCGACTTCCTTCCGACTTCCAGAGGAATCAATCCCACCACAAATGGCCATGAGCTGCCTGCCTGCGAAGGAATCCCAGCCCCAGGTCACAGAGGGCCACATCCTAAGGACAGCTATTTCTGGGAGCTTCAGAAAATACCAAAACAGGGGCCCTACCTTTAGGATATACTGGGCTCAATGGATTTGGCCCTGACTGCAACATTAGAATCCCTTCTCACCCCACCCAGACTAAGAGTATCCACAAGTCTGCAAGGCTCAGGTAAGGGTATTTGTGAAACTCCTTGGCGGGTTTTAATGAATCTGTGGATGGAAACCCGGCAAATACACTGAGAATCCAGAGAAACGAACACCCAGTGAAAGCACTGAAACACGTGATCAGAGCAATGTGTTCTGTGCACTGTCAACATGAGAAGGGACCTCGAAAGACAAACACTCCAATGTCCTCCTCATCACAGAAGGGCAAAATGCCACTGGCCTCCTCCATGAAGGGTGCCCCTCAAGCCAGGCAGCCTCTCCCAGAGAGCAAGAAGATATTAACTCCCTGCTGGGGTCAGAGCACTGACCTAGCCACACCTGTGTCATCAAATGAGGGAAGCTATTACTAGACCTTTCCTCCCTATACAACCCACAACATTCTATAACATGCTGTGCAGTTTAGCAAGAGAGGCCAGAGTCTGGTTTACCCTTTTTGCACCAGTAACACTACAAGTTCACTGTAGGCAAAGTAAATCTTACACTACCTCAGTCTATTCCAACTCTTACAGAGCTTGTCTGATAGAAGTGTCCGTGATGACGGAATGTTCTATTTCCACACAGTCAGTATAGCATTGAAAAACTGCTTTTCTTTTTTTTGGAGATGGAGTTTCACTCGTCACCCAGGTTGGAGTGCAGTGGCACGATCTCAGCTCACTGCAACCTCTGCCTCCCGGGTTCAAGCAATTCTCCTGCCTCAGCCTCCCAAGTAGCTGGGACTACAGACACCCACCACCACGCCCAGCTAATTTTTGTATTTTTAGTAGAGATGGGGTTTTACCATGTTGGCCAGGCTGGTCTCAAACTCCTGACCTCAGGTGATCCTCCCGCCTCAGCCTCCCAAAGTGCTGGGATTACAGGTGTGAGCCACCACGTCCGGCCGAGAAACTGCATTTTCACATGTTAATTTTAATTGATTGTGTTTAAGTAGCCACAAGCAGCTAGTCCACCCTATTGGACAGCACAGTGCAAGTATGACTCTTCCTACTACCACCATTTGCCTATGTGGACACTGGAAAAATACACAGGAGCAGGAGAGGCCGAGTAAGGAGACCACAATAGATTCTCCTCTGGAGCAACCTCCTCTGGAACAGGGCAAGGCATGCTGCAGGGAGGCCTGTGATACACATTACACAGCCCTCCTCCGCAGGCAACAGAGAGAGAGCTCTTTCCCAAAGTGCTATCTACAAACTATCACCAAGGAACAAGCAAAAAGAGTTTGTGAAGGAAAAGAACTATAGATATGTGTCAGAGCAGAGCAAGAACAACTTGCGCAAATCACCTAAACCAACTGCTCACTTTACAGATGAAGAAACTGAGGCTCAGAAACGTAAAGAAATTTCCATAAAAATCATAAATCATGGGGTTGGAGGTAGCATGAAACTCAGCCCATGGCTTTTTTCACTACAACTGATTCCCTCAGAGGATGATAAATCTGCAGAATTAGCAAGAGATATTGGCTGTTTTCAATGCAATGTCTGTGAGGCACAGCAGAAATAAATTACTGACTCATGCCAGAAACGAATGGTTCACCGCTGCTCCATTATAAGCATGGACACAGTAGAAGAGGAACCCCCACATACACACACATATCCCAGGAACCCACACGGAGAGAGAAGGAAGAATGCCAGGATTGCCTTTGATTTCTTCCCAACTCACTGGAGTAATCCAATAAAGGTTTGCTGACAGAGAAGCCTAGGAATTTGAGCCCTCCTATGCTCTTGCTCACCTATAGAAGAGTCACATCCTCAACATCAGAGTCTTGGAGATGTGACCAGACCAAATGGCAGACTCAGGCCCCAAACATGCAGAAGCATCCTGGTGGTCACCTGCCCAAGCAGCTTCCTCAGGAAGTCCTTCCCAGTCAATCTCTGAAGCACCGCAACCCAGCTTTGACTGGCCAGGCATCTCTTCCACGTGGTCTTCCTCACTGACTACCCCCAGGTCTCCTACACAAAGATCTGCCTGTCCTACCAACTAGACTGTAGACACTCCAAGGCAATAAACTGCTCTTCCATTCCTTCAGGAGACCCACCATCCTGAAGACTAAGGACTGGCCACAACAAAGGTTACAATTCCTTGAACATATGGGATTTCTTTATAGGTCTAAAGTTCTATGCTACCTTTGTAACACCGGGAAGGTCTCACTGTTTTTACAAGAGTGAAACACATTATCAGAGCAATGTGGTCTGCACATCCCTGGAAGGTACTGCTGACAAGGTGAGAAACGGGAAAAGTTTCCCTCACTCAGTTTAAAACTGTCTCCCAATATCGAAGTCATCTCCTCTCACACAGCATCCCTAAGGTGGCAGCCCCTCTGCTTATCTAGAAATAAGTACCACAGTCCTCCCCTCCACTGACCTAAAGTGTGCCTCCTCCAGCTACTGTCAAGTGACGCTTTGCTCCTTCAGTGAAGCTTTCAGCAGTGCCTCCCAAGCACTCAGGCCGGGCCTTTCTCTGCACTCCATCAGCACATTAGATACACAACTCTTGGAACTTGTCACATTACCTGGCAATGATTTGCTAACAAACTTGTTCTCCTTTCCTGCCCCAGCAGACTGGGGACACAATAAGTCTAAGCCCTCATTCATCCCACACTTTTCAGGAAGGCTGGAATCTGGGCTCTCCTTCTCTCCCCACTCTTCATCTTCTCACCTGTATTCTAGGATCTAGTTCTTCCTCTTCTCTTGGGGACAATTTGGCTTCACCACTGCTGCTTCCACCTCCTCCTGGCTCTTCCATGACTGGGCTCCTAGGGACTTCATCTTCTACAACTTCAGGCCGCAGCTCCCCCTGTGGCGTCTCCCGCCCCCCTGGAACCTGTTTGAGCTCAGCCATGCTGACAGGGAGAGAGCAGAGCCCTATGCACAAGAGAGGACTGACATGCTGGGCCCAGGGCCCCAGCCTGGGGCTTCCTGGGCTCTAGACGGCCAGGAGAAGGGTTTCTCTTCTCAAAAGGCAGAAAAGGTGGGCACGGGAAGAACCTCAAACTAGGTTAGAGGCTGAGATTCCAGTTGTCAGTGGGTTCCTGGAGCTGAAGCCTTGCCTGTGCAAAAGTTCTTCCCTTCCCGCCACAGGGAGTCCACTATGAGAAACCCGGAGCAATAGCTCCAAGGCAGGGGGCAAAGGGGGCTTGGATCCTGGGCCGAGGCCTGCTAGGAGGAGCACCATTCGGAAGGGTGGAGGCAGGCGCCTCCAGGCTGTGGTGGCAGCTGGAGAGAGAAGGCTAGGCCCCAGCTGAGGCTGTGGGATGAGCGTCTCTGGGGAGCTGCAGAGAAACAAAGGCCAAGTATATGGTCACGTTAGCATCAAAACCGCAGCCACCAGCCCCTTCCAACCCTATAGCCTCCCAAAAAGTGCACTCGCACCACGCCCCCACCCATGGATTCCGACCAGCCCCTACCCCAACTTCTTTCCTTAGCCTCCAAGGACTTTAGATTCTTCTCTTCCCCGGTCCCAGCTCCTTCGACCCAGCCCCTCCCCAGTCAGCGCCTTCGAGGCTTTCCTCTGCACGCCTGGCTCTCCTTCACCTCCTGGGGTCTCCCGCTCTGCCCGCACCCCCGCCTGGCTCTGCAATTCACCCTGTAACCCCCAGCCCCACCCCACCTTCTCTCTCCAACCTCTCGTCTCCAACTCCACACTCCTCCGCTGTCCCAAGTACCCTACTCCCGGCCATCCTACACAGCCATGCGCAAAAGCCCCCTTCACAGCCTTACCTCAGTTTACCTTCCCGTCCGCGGAGATTCTAGGCTGCAAACAATCTTCCCCCTCCCTCCCCGCAACAAGCCGATCCAACCAAAAACGACCGGGCAGACCAGAAGCGGAAATACATCACCGGTGAACAACGCCCTCCCTCCCACGCTCTGTCTCCAACCAGGCCTCCTCTGGAGGCCTCCACACGCCCCCGCCCTGCCTTCAGTTTCCGTACAAAATGGTGCCCGGCTTTGCTCAGGCTAGGCGCAAGTTGTCTCCATCCCATCCTCCACCAAGGCTGAATGAAAGAAAAGCATGAGAATTTCGTGCTGAAGAAAATTAGGGTGCGTGATGGAAATCGGGAGTAAATCTGTGAGAAGAGGAACACTAGAAATAAAACGGAGATAACTGACTCAGAGAGAGTAGAGCCATGTTGCTTTACGGAGCTGCGGCAGCGGCGGCCGGAAGCCACTTCCGGCCTGGTTACGCAGGCGGACGCGACGCCGGAAGTGAGTGGTAAACTTCCGGCCGTGGCGGCGGGGACGACTCCGGCCCGGGCGCTGGCCGACTTCTCCCGCGAAGGAAAAGTCGGTTTCCAAAAGTGACTTTCCTCACTCTAGGGAAGTCGGCGGAGCCTTTAGGGACGGCGGACGGCTCCGATGGGCAAATCCCAGTCCTCAAGGCTTCTGTACTTCGCACCTTGAACGACATTTGGTGGGGTCACCAGTTACTCGTGAATACTGTGGACGCGGTTAATTCACTGGTGCGCCCAGGCTCAGATGCCCTCGATGAGCAGGAGTTTGATACTCGGCAGTGTGTGTCGTTACCTAGGTCCGTGAACCAGCGGCCTGGTTGTCACCGGGAGGTGTTGCTTGGTGAGGCAAGGGCCCAGGCCTAAGGGGAAGGGCCTCGGGGTTGGATGTTTCGTTTTTACGAAAGGCATAACTTCCTCAAAGCCAACTCAAAGTTTGCCCTGCCGACGGAAAAGGCAAATGGACTGAATTCCCCTTCCTTTTCGATCCTGTCAAAGATAACCCAGCTAGACATGAAAGCAGTGGAAAAAACTTGTTTCAGTAACTACTTACAGGCAGGGAAAGAACTGACCTCTGTTCCGATGTGTACAGAACTGAGTGGGCATTTCAGAGGGAGAATGGGGGAAGGAAGGTGATCAGGGCTCGGTAGTGTCAGAGAAGTGAAACGTGACAGGTTGATTAGGATAAATGCGATTAGGCCAGATGTGTTTGCTACCTTGAGACGGAGTTTCTCTCTTGCTGCCCAGGCTGGAGTGCAATGGTGCGATCTTGGCTCACAGCAACCTCTGCCCACCCTCCCTCCCCCGCGGTTTGAGCGATTCCCCTGCCTCAGCTTCTCGAGTAGCTGGGATTACAGGCGCGCACCAACACGTCTGGCTAATTTTTGTATTTTTAGTAGAGACGGGGTTTTGCCAGTAGGCCAGGCTGGTCTCAAACTCCTGACCTCAGGTGATCCATCCGTCTAGGCCTCCCAAAATGCTGGGATTACAGGCGTGAGCCACTGCGCATGGCCTAGAGTGTTATTCTTGCGCCGAGATTGGGAGGTAGAGGCTCTGCCCTTCCTGACGATACCATTTCAGAGGAATGGCTCTCAGGTCCTTGAGAAGGACCTCTTGAGTTGTGGGAGACACATAAACACCCTAAAGAGAAGAAGGAAGGATTTGTAATTGTAAGCCCTTAATAAATGCTCTGAGAAAGGGAGGTCAGGAGCCTGTCATCAGGTGTTGGCTAGAACAAACAGTAAATTCTCCTAGTAGCATTGAGCTTTCTCAGGCAGGCATTTTAATGGGGAGCTGAGGTTAATCTAGAGACATGCTCTTATATGCTAGAAGCCATGTAAAGTTTGTCTCTTACTAATTAAGAGGTTTGGATGGAGTCATGTGCCAAGAGTTCTACAGTTCTCAGTCCATTTCTTCTAGCCCTTCACCCCATGAATAACTTTTTTTTTTTAATTGAGCAGAGCAAAATACATTCCTTTAAAAGAGGTGATTGTGATTCAAAACAGATTTTTCCATTAAATTGGAGGGGTTTTTTTTTTAATTACAAAAGTGATTTCTCTAATTTCAGTAAGTCAGGATCTTCAGTAACATTGTCTAAGTGGACGCTCTGATGGATGATACAGCTAGTGCTCGACTTAACGACCACGATTGGTTCTGACAGACCGGTCATAACACGATTTGATCGTAAGTTGAGTAGGCTGTATGCACGCAGAGATGGTAGTGCTGCCGGAAGCTGGTCCGCACCGTCGTACGCCCAGCTGGGTAACGTTTGCGCTGCCAGACACGGAGCAGTCGTAGCTAGCGATTGTGGTCGTAAAATCGAATGGTCGTAAGTTGCATAGGTCGTAAGTCGATCAATACCTGTATGCCTTAGTCTTCTACCACAGTCGTTTTTGTTATTAAGGTGCCATACAAAAACCATAAAATTTAAATATAAGGTGATAAACATGATTTATTTGTTCTCTACCAGTCACGTTAATTTTGTAGAACTATAATTTCACTACAGTAACCTCATTTTACCCAAGATGTCTGTCCACCCTAGCCTGAATTCTCCAGGCTTTCTTATTCAGCAATGCTCCAATACCTGTCATTCTTATGCCCCATCCCATAGCCCCTTTTCTCTGTGTACTGCTTAGCAATCACAAACTGCTGCTACTTGTCACAGATCTTTGATGGGAAAATATTATGAATACTTAAAATGTCCAGACCCCTAGATCACATCGTGAGCTTTAGCAGCCCCTTTAAAGTCTCTATTGGCCTCTTCCAAGGTTAACTCTCCTACTGAGACCAAATGTGATTCTGTCATGTATGGATTGTAATATAATCCTGCAGTAGTTTTTTCTGCTGGGTTTGAATAATGTTTGGGTAGAGATTGGGGAATGCTGTGCATTGATTTAACCTACACTTCTTTATTGAAGCCAGCACAAACATGATGAAATTAAAACTTTTGTCTAGAGCAGCACTGTCCGAAAGACCTTTCTGCAAAGAAGGCAATGTTACTCAGCTCTCACAGCATGGTAGTCTGTAGACACATGTGGCCATTTAGAACCTGAAATGGAGCTAGTGTGATAAAGGAATTGCATTTTTTATTTTATTTTAAATAGTTCTGGCCGGGCGCAGTGGCTCACACCTGTAATCCCAGCACTTTGGGAGGCCGAGGCAGTGGATCACCTGATGTTGGGAGTTTGAGACCAGCCTGGCCAACATGGAGAAACCCCGTTTCTACTAAAAATAAAAAATTAGCCAGGTGTGGTGGCGCATGCCTACAGTCCCAGCTACTCGGGAGACTGAGGTAGGAGAATCACTTGAACCTGAGAGGCAGAGGTTGTGGTGAGCTGAGATCATGTCATTGCACTCCAGCATGGTCAACAAGAGTGAAACTCCAACTCAAAAAAAAAAAAAAAAAAAAAAGCTCTGTGTAGCTAGTGGTTCCTTTCCTGGACAGCACATTTTTAGAACCTGCCTTTTCTATGTAACTTCTGAATACATACTGAACTTTCACATCTTCAATACAAAACAAACAGATGCCTCTTAGTCTCCACTATCATTTATCTTTTCTTCACTTCCCGTCTTCCCATTTACTTCTATAATCTGGCTTCAGGTACTGCCACTTCATAGGAATTACAAAGATAAGGTCATCCATGCTCTCAGTATTGCCACATCACTGACATCTGACACCGGGTTATTTCTCTCTTTTTTTCTTATCCGTTAGTTTCTGAGTAACCCTAGTGCAGGGTTTCCTCTTCTCTTGCTTGTTGATTCATTTCTTTATGCTGTATGTCTTTACTGACTGCCTGTTATGTGCCAGAATTTCAGGCAATGATGAGAAAAAGGGCACTATCCTAGTCCCCATTTAGCTGCTGGTCTATGGTGCTCGATTGATTGATTGATTGATTGATTGTAGAGTCTCACTCTGTTGCCCAGGCTGGAGTGCAATGGTATGATCTCGGTTCATTGTAACCTCCGCCTCCCAGGTTCAAGTGATTCTCCTGCCTCAGCCTACCGAGCAGCTGAGACTACAGGCGCATGCCACCACGCCCAGCTAATTTTTTTGTAATTTTAGTAGGGACAGGGTTTCACCATGTTGGCGAGGCTGGTCTCCCAACTCCTGACCTCAAGTGATCTGCCTGCCTCAGCCTCCCAAAGTGCTGGGATTACAAGTGTGAGCCACCATGCCTGGCCAGTGGTGCTCATTTTATAAACTGGTGAGATTCAAACTAATTGGAAGACAACCCAGATACATGTTTTACCTTGCAACCCAGTACACATATATGTGTCTAAATATATTCATTAAAAAGGTATAGGAAAAGATCTTTACCCGAATTATATATAAAGCACATTAATGTTTGTATACTATTTTTAAATTCTGGTGGAGATATCTTTTGTTGATTTCATGACAAAAGATACTCACAGTTTGAAAACCCTGTCCTAAATGTTACTGTGCTCCAGGCCCTGATGCTAGCCTCTGACCATCTCAAGCTGCCTACTTTCCCTGAGTTCCCTTACCCTAGTGCATGGCTACAGTCCTTACCCATGGCTACTGTTCCTTCCTTGGAGCTCTGTCTCCACAGACTTGCCACAGATCACATTCTGAGATCCATTAGCCTTTGAGATACCACTGGCCTGTCCCAGAGTTGCCTCTCTCTCAGTGGATCCAACTCTGATTTCATCCCCTTTCCCAAATCCTGCTCTTTTGACATTTGATGTTGGTAAATGGTTCTATGGTCCATCTCTTTACGCTAGGGAAAAACCTAAAAGGCACCCCTCCACATTGCTTTTCATCACACTAAGTATCTCAAAGAGATACCTTCTGTTCATCTCCTTGCCATAGCTTCAGCTTAGAGTCTCCTCATTTTCATCATAGATCACATACCTCAAAAGTCTTCTCAATCAGCGCTTAAAGTAGCAATGATGGAAATTACTGTATTTGCACTGTCCAATATGGTAGCTACTAGTCATGTGTAGCTCTTGAACGAGTTTAAATAGTCACATACACATCCTGCCACAAGGATCCCTCCTAGTTCCTGGCCTTAATAAACCACTAACAACCCCTTGGACTGAAGCCATATAAAGATGTTAGCAACACTGTCAATTACTATGTAATATCACGAATCAACTTTACTTCTTAAATATTTTTTTTTTTCTTGGAGACGGAGTTTCGCTCTTGTTACCCAGGCTGGAGTGCAATGGCGCGATCTCGGCTCACCGCAACCTCCGCCTCCTGGGTTCAGGCAATTCTCCTGCCTCAGCCTCCTGAGTAGCTGGGACTACAGGCACGCGCCACCATGCCCAGCTAATTTTTTGTAGTTTTAATAGAGACGGGGTTTCACCATATTGACCAGGATGGTCTCCATCTCTTGACCTCGTGATCCACCCGCCTCGGCCTCCCAAAGTGCTGGGACTACAGGCTTGAGCCACCGCGCCCGGCCTTAAATATTTT